GGGGTTTAGAGCGGGGGTGATTGGGAGCCAGGACTCCTGGGTTCTATCCTCAGCCCTGCCACTGGCTTCCTGCATGACCTTGGGCAAATCACTTCCCCCTCTGTGCCTCAGTTTCTTCATCTGTTAAGTGGGGCCTGTGCTTAGCTGGTTGGCCGAGGGGAAGGCGGCTGGAGTCGGTCTATCCCCAATTAGTCCCCTTTTTATTGAGGAGCTCTCTGCTCTGCGTTCCCCGGCCAGAATTAACTCCTGCTTCCCCCAGACGTGGTTATAGTTACACCTGGCAGCGAGCGGACAGGCGGCGGGAGGCCGTGACCGATTTGTACCCTCAAAATGCGCTTAAGGACAAACTAGCCCTACGACCTTCCCATCCTCTGGGAAAGGGCCATGCATACTGATGAGCTAATACACCTCTGAAATGGGTCAGCTTCCTCATCCCCCTGGGGAAACTGAGGCATGGAATCCCAGCGTGACTTACCCAAGGTCCCTCAGCAAGCAAGCGGCAGTGCCAGGAATAGGACCCAGGAGTTCGGGCTTCGGGTCCCCCCTGCCTTTTTCTCTCTTGGGCTGCCCAACTAGCCTGCCCCATGTCTGTTCACAGCCTGAATACGCCCAAAATCCATGACAAAAAGAACCCGGCCTAGCCTCTTTTCAAGCGGGGAACTGGTCAAGTGCGGGTGGCTTCAAAGAGCTTTTTGGTCGATTCCTCCATCGCCAGCCTAGGATGCGAGTTCACAATCCCCAGTGACTCCAGCCAGGGAGCAGGACCGGGCAACGCTCAGGGCCAGCGGGGAGCGGATGGAGTAGCTGCAGGTTCTTTGGGGGCCATCGACGGGCCCTGGCCGAAGTGACGATGGGGTGGCTCCCCCCAGCCGGGTCCGAGCACCGTGCCCAGGACAGACAGGCGCTCTGGTCTCTGCAGGGGCCTGTATTACGCTGCCTGCAGGGGCCAGGCAGCCAGCGTGTGGGGTGTAGCTTCTTACCCTGCAGATGGACCTTCGCATCCAGCGCCATACGTGGGGCATGGGGGCAGAGAAGGGGCAAGCGGCACTTGACCCATCTCCCCTGGTTGACCATAGCCTGGCCAGCCTGATAGGCCCCTGCCCCACATGCTCCCCCAGGCCCTGTTCTGCCTGGCCGGTTCCCCTCCAGGGCTGTGGGCCTGGCCGGGGGCCCAGGGCCGTCCCCTGGCCTCCTGGGCCGGCCAGGGGCATTACCTCATGTTCACCATGTACCCTGGAGCGTGGCCATCCTGCCTTTGTTTGCCAGAGGCCGGAATGGCTCCCCTGGCTCCTGCCCCGCCATAGGCTCCGTCAACATCTTTTTAGACAATCAGAACTTTCCTATTGTTGTTGTCCCGGCCAAGCACAATTAGCCTCGGGCCCTGGTTTCACATTCTCTCCCCCTGCTCGCACGGCCCTGCACAACCAGCCACCAGGGTGGGGCCTGGGCTGCTAGCGCCAGGACGGAGGAGAGAGAAGGAGAAGCCCTCCCTCTGTGGCACTTAGCGTGGGCTTTCCCCTCCCCGCAGGGCTGACTCTGCCCACCCTGACGCCTTCCCCGGTGCAAAGCAGGTGTGAAATGTGCCCAAATCAGAGTTCTCGGCCCCCTGTACTCTGCCCAGGGCAGCACGAGGCACCGGCAGGGGGCTCAGGGCACTGCTGCCCCAGCTCAATGCTGCCCGCTCTCACAATCTTGCCATGAGTCTTCCAGCCCCAGCTCCTGGAGTCAGGTGATTAGGAGACTCTCCGCTTTTCACGTAAAAGAAATTTTTAACCCTCACGGCTGGCGTGGGGAGTTGGGAGACATGACCCCTAGAGGCTCACAAACCAGGGGCTCTGCTCTTCCCCATCTGATGCTCCATATTCCTCCTTGGGGCCAGAATGCAGCCTGGCCTGAAACCCAGCCTGTGCTGCTACGCCCAGCCAGCCCTGCTCCTGCTGAGTGCACATTGCTGTCAGCTCCTGCTGCCAGACAGGGCCAGTCTCGGGGCAGCAGCTGCCCTTGCTGAGCGACAGGCTCTGGAATCGCCTTCTCCCAGGGCGCAGAGAGCTGCAGCCGGATCTGCGCCTCCCGGCAGGAGGGGGGCTCTGAGCTGGAGTGGCCTTGTGATCCCTGCCACTCAGGTTGGATTTGGCCCCTGGCGTCCCTCCCGCTAGCCCAGGCCCTGTGGCTCGGCTCCCAGGTCCAGTCAGTTGCTGCATTGCCCTGGGCACTTTCCCCTCCAGTTCAATGCGAACCCCCAGCATTTCAACTCCTTCCCCTTTAGGAATGTTTTATCATGGTGGCTTTTCCCCCTCTGCCCCACAGATTCTCCCTCTACCTCAACCCTCCCCCGGGGATACAGAGCCGGGGACCGAA